GCAAGTAGAGTTGGGGCTAGAATTTATTTATTGTTTCATTCACTGAGCAGTCAGGAAATGCTGTTATGTGTCAGGCACTAAGCAGCAAATACACAAAGCTGGCTCTCAAGCAGGTGATAGGGTAGGATTGTTGAGAGTGGGTAAGGGACACTATAACCTTTACTAAAGCCATTAGCATACATCTTTGCAAAAAGAAAAACTATGTGGGACTGGGAGTGGTAGAATACACCTGTAATACCAGCTCTCAGGAAGCTGAAGCAGGAGGATCAAGAGTTCAAGACAAGCCTGGGCTGGGCTACATAGTGAGACCTTGTCAAAAAAGAAAGAAAAGAAAGAAGGAAGGAAGGAAGGAAGGATGGAAGGAAGAAAGAGGTGGGGAGGGAGGGAAGGAGGGAGAAATGAAGGAAGGAAGGAAGGCAGGGAGGGAAAAGAAAATTGTGGGCAATCAGAAAGTAAGATTATGATAATAAAATGAGTGAAAATTATAGTTGTAAAAATGCCAAGTTCTGTGCACATAGTGACAGTTCTATGACAAGCTGTGACACAAGTCCCTGTCACAGGCCCCTGGGGGCAGCTGAGAACCACATTAATTCAAGTTCCTATATGCCCTGTAGGGAATAGAAGGATTTTTTTTTTTAAAGCATGACATGTAATTCCAGATAACCTCTCCCACTGTTCTTGATTAGATTTGTTATTAACAATCATTGTTCTTAAAAGGTAGAATCAATCTAAGTTTGGTCAAAAGTTTCCTAGGAGAACTTTCAGCAAAGGTTTAAAATAAACTCTTTAACCCCTTTACCTCTGTGATCCATCTCAAAATACTCACATACAGGTATATAATTAACCTTGAAAAGTAGGAGGCTTTCATTTTCTACTTGCTGACTTTCCTGGGATAAATTAAAACAGCAACCAATTGATGTTGAAATGTCTAAGCTAAAATGTCACAGACACATCAAGTTCAGCAAAGTTGCTCTCCTCTGCCGAGTAGTCTAATGCCACAGTCATCCATGTGTCTTTAAGGGTGTGGATGTGACCTTACTTGGCAGGGCTTCATGACTGCAACCTGCACATTTCTGTCACAGTGCTTGAATCAATCCTCATGCCCACACAGTAGAGCTGGTTTCCATTTCATTCTTGAATTCACACAGGTAAGTGTGTGGGTGTGTGCTCCTCGAACTCAGAGATGCATTATCACATTAATCCAAGTCCATTAATCTCATCGCTCTGATATTTTTTTCCTTATCTCCTTCTACACAAAATAATTCTTTACCTATTGCCCTTCATTGCTTAATAACTCAAAGAAAGCACTGGAAAAAGTCAAGAACCCAGCTACTACTTAGCTGATGACCGTTTACTTCATGCTTCAATATCCTGTTTTTCTTTTTCTTTCTTTTTTTTGGAAGCACTGGGGTTTGAACTCAGAGCCTCACACTTGCTAGGAATACATTCTACCACTTGAGCCACTCCATCAGCCCTTTTTATCAATATTCCTTTGTGAAATGAGAATCATAACATCTAGCCCAACTCCACAGATGGCCAGAATAAGAGAAAATAGGATCTGTAAAGCATTTAAAATGCTTTGAAAGAAAGGCAGAAGAGCACTGTGACTTTAAAAAAGCAAGTGGTACCAAATAAGAAAATAAATGTAGCCTGTAAATAACAGAAGAAATCAGCAGTTTGGGTCACTGTTGTCATAGGCTATTGAGGGGAGCTAACCTCAGAGTGTCTTACAGTGGTGGAAGTTTCTGTGCATCTGCCAGATGCTGCAACATGTTTAGGATCCATTTTACAGGGAAACATGCGCCACTGAGGAACAGACTTTTGCTTTTCTCTGTCTATAAACTCTGATATTTGATGTGAACACAAAGCCTCATTTGTTTTGGTCTAAATACCCAGATATGTGGGTGGACTCATTCATCTGAGGAATGTTGTCTAAGTTCAGAGATGCTGATCCCACAGTGTGGGGTGTCTGACCATCTGCCTTTTCTCAAAAATAGTGGGAAGCATTTTTTTCTACTTTCAAATAAGTTGTTTCCACCTAACAAAAATGTATCACGCATAAACGATGTCAAAAGCACCCTGCTGGGTTCTGCGAATGCTGTAAAGAAGTCTGTTTCTGCCCTTGAGAAGAATTTTACAGGCCACATTCTTAGATAGAAATCTCAGTGGAATCCAGTTCTCCAGAACAGTGACTATAGGGCTTATCTTTCTATTCTCAGGGCATAGGGCTGGAGATTGACTAAATAAACAAACAGAAGAATGGGTATTCTAGTAAAGATGTTTCCTGTTCTTTTGTTCAACAGTAAGAAATTATTTCTAACTTCTTTACAGTCCCATCCCAATTGCTAAAGGAAGGAAGGAAGGAAAGGAGGGAGGGAGGGAGGCAGGGAGGAAGGAAAGGAGAGAAGATGCATCCTTCATTAAGTCATCAAAACAGGTTAGACTACAAAGCAGACAAATGGAAAGTGAAAAGGAAGCAATTGAGAGGAGGGAAAAGAGAAAGCATTATCTAGAAGGAAACAGTGAAAATAAAATGTATGCAAAATACTTAGGAAGAATTCAGTTGATTCTCAACAACCAGAGTAAAGTAGATAATAATCCTGTGGGGAGAAATAAAAAAAAAAATTGTTGAAAAGTGAATGAATCAAAGATTAGATAGCTGGGTGTGGTGGCTCACAGCTGTAATCCCAGTTACTCCAGAGGTGAAAGACTGTGGTTCCAGGCCAGCCCAGGCAGAAAGGTAGCAAGCCTCCATGTCAACTAATAAGTTGGCATGGTGGAGTACCACTTGTGATCCCAGCCTCATGAAAGGTAGAGGTAGGAGGATGGAGGTTGAGGCCAGCCAGGACAAAAATGTGAGACCCTACCTGAAAAATAATTAAAGCCAAAAAGGACTGAGGATATGGCAGTAGAGTACCTGCCTCAAGCTTCAGGCCCTGAGTTGAAACCTCAGTACCACCAAAAAAAGACTAGAAGAGAAAAATGGTGCTCTGTTTTATTTTTGGCCTTCAGTGTCAGGCCACTTTGGCCAAAAATGGAACTTAAAATAATGTTCCAAAAAACTGCTAAGCATGTCCTCTGGACAAGGATGTGGTAATCACATCACAGAGTACCTAGGTCGGCGGTACTCTGACTACCTGCTGCTGCCTTCTTCTTGAAGGCAGCAGTCCCTAAACTCTGATTTCAGGGCTTTTTTTTTTTTTTATCAATACTGGCACTTGAACTCAGAGCCTACACCTTAAGCCACTCCACCATTGCTTTTTTGTGGTGGGTTTTTTCATGATAGGGTCTCTCCAACTATTTGCCCTGGCTTGCTTCCAGCCCTGATACTCCTTACCTCTGCCTCCTCAGTAGCTGGGATACAGGCGGGAGCCATAGGTGCCCAGCCTCTTCATACTCTAAGTCTTTATGTGAATTATATCCAGTCAATTTTTCTTATCACAACCAGAAATTTCCGAAATATTTTAAACCAAGATAACAAAGTGTACTTACTGTGTGTATTTCCAATTTCAAGATTATCTGAGAATAATACTCTTAGCTATCTTAGTAGATATGACTAAAGATAGCTGATAGAAGTACTGCCAACAAGCAAATTTCGCTCATCTCCATAAGTCTACATAAAATTACATGTTTATACAAAACCTACTGCCATAGAAAATACTAGAGAAAGCAAGCATGCACCTGCTGGTATTTCATTAGTTAACAGAATGGTGATGTCATTCATTTTCCGTGAAATAGCCTCTGGAAATTTCCACTCGTATTCTCTCGAAAGAATGAAAGTGATAAAAGGTAAAAATCATATCTTGTTAGCATAATGAAAATAGTCTTGACTTCAGAGACCCCTTTAAAGAATTTTGGAGGGGCTGTAGATATAGCTCAGTGGTAGAGTGCTTGCCTGGCATGCACGAGGCCCTGAGTTCAACTCCCAGCCCCACCAAAAAAGAAAAAAGAATTTGGAGACATGCCATCTGATGAATCCCATTGGAGAACTGAAGTAATCGATTGATTTTTAGGTCACTTCTCATTCCATATCACTCCCAAAATGTATTTTCTGTGAGGAGTGCTTTGTCCTCATTCCGCAACAGCTAACCTGAGGGAACCACAGGAGCCTGCCAAATCAAAGCCTCTGACGGCCAAGGGCGATCTGCCTAGCTGAGAGAACTGACACGCTCCCTGGAAGTCCCCTGGTCTAGAAACAAGTCCCAAATGGCTCACCCTCGCCTCCAAGGCGTGGCCACCGCGGGCGGCAAGCTGCTGGGCAGGCCCAGGGCTGGGGACAGAAGCAGAGCTGCTAAGAGTGCGGCGCCAGCTTCGGAACACGCCCGCCGCAGGTGAGCCATCCCCCGGGGGAGGAGCCAGCAGGTGCTGCCCAGGTGGCCGTCTCCTCCCCTTGCTGGCTCAGTGGCGTCCCTCAGGACCTCGCGCGGCACACGTCCCCTGGGCGCTCCTTCGTGGACCCCAGGCTCGGCGTCCCGCACTGCGGAGAGCCAGGTCCAGAGTGTCGTCGAGACTTAAGGGACTCCGGAGACAAAGGGCTTGGAGGCGTCGGGGACAACCAAACGACAAGGCTCTGGCCCGGGGACTGCTGGAATATGTGTGGGGGGACACAGGTGCGGGGCTCCCACCGCTGCGCTGGGACGGGGGAAAGAGATACGGGTGCCGGGCCTCCACTGACCGGGTCGGATTCCAACGCAAAGCAGAGGGTTGTCCTCGGCGACAAAGTATCCGATCTGTCCTCGGCTAAGTCCCCGGGAGCCACATTGGTCTCTAGGCGCTCTCAGAGGCCACTTGCCTGGCGCGCGTCGGTTCCGGGTCACCGAAACCGCGGCGGGGCGCAGTGGTGCGGTGGCTTTGAGTACAACAGGTCGGTGACTCAGTTCCCACCGAAACTCAAAAGACTTAGGATTTGTTTTCTCTCTCTCTCTCTCTCTCTCTCTCTCTCTCTCTCTCTGACATGCCTTTTGCTTTTTGGTTTTAGTTTGTGTGACACTTGCCAGACTATGCTTTCACTTCTGATTCTACTCAGCCACCTGCCCACGGTTACCTTGGCGTTTCCTCATTGTACAAGAAGTCTAGAGGATTCCGGGTATGCTGGGGAAGAAGGTAAGTATGCACCCCTGACATTTCGGAAAAAACCATCCTGAAACTAGAGTCGTATATTACAAGATCTCAAGCCAGAAAGTGTGTATGTGGAATAATATGCTCCATGAACCACAGAAGCACTAAAATGTCCTTCAGTTTAATTTGTGCCTTACTTGATAATGTGGCGGGGTTTCATGCTCTTTAACTACATGTGTACAAATTGATCTGAGTTTTCTTCGATAAGTATATGTTGAAGACCTTGGTTTGTGGTTAACTGAATGGAAAGCCTATTTCGACTTCTGAAACTCAGTGAGTGATCATTTTCTTAGATGAAGTGTTGTGGTTACTTCTTGGAAAGATGGACAGGGGAGTTCAAGATCTAGTCTGGGCTTGCTTTTTGCACGGCAAGGATGGCATGCTAAGCACTGAGCTACAGCCTCTGCCCTCTAGACTGGACTTCTTGGGCAAGGCACTTAATTCCTTTGGACTTGAATGTCTTCACCTGGGCAGAATGATCTCTCAGGTCCTTTTCCACTTTCAAATGTCTACTTGTCTAGATAAAGGCAGATGGATGAGAAATCAAGTTTGGGGCTTGCTCACCTAGAATTCCATGCCTTTTAAGTTCCTGCCTACTTTTTAAAAACTTAACCTAGTAAAACCAGAAAGAAATTTAAAAAACAAGACTTTGGCTTTCAGCATCCTTCTCTCTGTCTAGTCATTGTGCTTTCCCATCCAGTGCAGGCACTTTGAATTCACCTCTGCACACATCCTTACATTCCTGTCTCTGTCCCTGCTCAACAGATTCTACTCTCAAGTCATTTGTATTTGAGAAGGATCTGGTGCATTAACACTCCTGACTGACTCTTTTCTGGTTTTTTTGTTTTTTTGTTTTGTTTTGGTTTTTGGTGGTACTGGAGTTTGAACTCAGCCCTTCCTGCTTGCTAGGCAGGCACTGTATCACTTGAACCACTCTGCCAGCCTTTTTTGTGTTGTGTGTGTTAGGTATTTTCAAGATAGGGTCTCAATAACTATTTGCCAAGGATCGGGCTAGCTTCGATCCTCCTGATCTCTGCCTCCTAGTAGCTAGGATTACAGGTGTGAGCCACCAGCACCTGGTGTGACTGACTTATTAATGATTAGTATAGCTCTGTGTGTGTGTTAGAACAGGGCACCTTAGCCTAAAGGAATCAAACTCTGATGGCAGAATTCTAGGCAATTAGATAGGCTAACTCGTGGGATAGGGAAAGAAGTCTGAAAAGGGGAGCGTTCTTGGTACCTCCGTATATGTAAGTCACCCACATATAAGGTTGATGGTCCATACTCAGTTGGACCAGATGCTGCTGCCCACGATGCTTGTAAGGGTTGTATTCATTCACTCACATGACACAGGCACAAAAGTTACTCTCAAGGACATCATAAACTATGGAAGGAGTAGGGCTGGTGGCTCAGTGGTAGACTGTTTGCCTAGCATGCAAGAGGCCCTGGGTTCCACCCTCAGCACCATAAAACCATTAAAATAAAATTTTTTCATATAAATTATGGAAGGAATTAAAAAGTCATCCGTGAGTGCAGAGGGCTACAGATACCTGTGGGAAATGAAGGCTCTTACACATTTGAAGGGCCAAACTTATTCAGTAAATAACTGCCATATGAACACATTCTGTGTGTCCAGCTCCTTGTAAGAGCTGGAAATGTAGAAGTGAAGGACTACAATCCTTGCCCTGGAGGACCTCTTCATATGGTGAAGAGGTAGGGTGTAAACAGATATTCTCTATAACAGAGGTAGGAACAAAGAACACCTGAAAACAAAATAGAGGGAGTAGTAATAACAGTGCCCTAGGAGAGCTGTATGACAGTCAATGTCTTCCATCTGCAAGTGGGACAAAATAAATGAAGATACAAAAAGTATAGTAGTCCACCCCCCCTTATCTGCAAGGGCTTCATTCCAGAACTGCCAGTGGACACCTGAAACCTCAGATAGTATTGAGTCCTGTAGATAAGCACCGCAAACCACAGGAGTTGATCTGATGAACAAGATGGCTACTAAGTGACTATCGAGCAGGCAGTGTATATGGTTTGCACACTCTGGAAAAGGGACGATTCACATCCTAGACGACTGAGCAAAAGGGTGGGAGATTTCATCATGCTGCTTAGACTGACATGCAAGTTAAGACTTATGAATTGTTTATTTATGGAATTTTCCACTTTATATTTTTAAACCATGGTGTTGGCCTAAGAGAATTGAAACTGAAAAGTAAAATTGCAAATAAGAGAGTGTTACTGTAACAGAGCTGGTGGAGTGGTTCAAGTGGCAGAGTGCTTTTCTAGCAAGTGTGAGGCCCTGAGTTCAAACCCCAGTACCACAAAAGAGAAAAAGAGAGAGAGAGAGAGAGAGAGAAAGTATTACAGTGACTGAAAAAAATGTGGGAGGGGGACCTTCAGTTAAATTCCAATAAAATCTTAGGTTAAAAGCTGGAATGACTTAAAAGGAGCTTATTTAGAAAATATGGGGAGAGGAAGAAAATGGAATACTTGGGTTAGTAGGTTTGTAGGTTTGTGGAATGCACAGGCAGCCTCTTAGCATAGTCCAAGACAAGAAAAGCAGAGAAGGAAAGAGACTCCTAACAAAGCAAATGCAAGGCCACTGAATGATTAAGTAGAACTCAAATGCCACGGGAGTGAAGTAGAAATCCTATTGGGATAGAAACCAGAAACCCTAGTTTCAGTGCCCCTCCTGATTCACTTGCCAAATTTCCTTGAACTAATCTCTCAAAATTTCTGCAATGGTCAAGAGGAAAATGGTGGGTCTTACTAGGATCCCCAGGGTACTCCAGGGCAGAAAAGGTTGCTTCTTTCAAATTAGAATCAAATTCTCGGTTTCTTAAGACTCCAAATGACAAAGGATAGTATTTCTCCTGAGATCATAAGAGATGCAGAGAAAAATCCAATCTAGCACTGAAGGTTAAGTCTAAAGTTGACCACTGATAGAATCACTACTTTTACACTCAGGGAAGTGCAAACAGCAGCCCCTGGAAGGCACCTTTACTATAGTATCAATTATAATATTGTGATTAATCCTAAATACCACATTTGTGATACTGATATAAATCATTTTAGGAAAAATAAAAATGTTTATGGCTCTCTTTTTTATTTTCTCTTCAAACTGAAAGTAGCTTTATTGAGTTACAGGATGGAGTGGAGAAATACTTATAGGACAGATAACCTACTTGAACAGAAGGTTGTCCATAAGAAATTTGGCACTGTTTCTTTAACCAATAAAATATAAAGATCTGGGCAGATCTGAGAAGTAACAATACAGAGATAGATTCGTGCAGTAAGTGTGGCTAAGCTGGGAAGCCTATGAGTTGCTTCAACACTGGCTTAATTACTGCATCACTTTAAACCTAGGCCAAGTTCAGTTATACTAGATTATACCTATGAATTGCTTCTACTGATAGACTTTAGGTCCAAGAGGGTCTTCCTGCAGTAGGATAGTTGAGTTTGCTTATGTAATAATTTTTTGAGCACCTCTTCTGTGCCAAGCACTCACATCCTTGCTTTCATGGGGTCTTCCTTCTAGTGAGGGGAACTGTGGTAAAGACAAGAAGTGAAGCTTACGGAACACCAGATGGTGCTAAATGTTATGGAGAAAAGCAAAGTATGGACAGAGAGTGGATGGAGATGGGGATTAATCCTGAAGGAGGACAAACTGCAAGAAGAAAGTTCTACCTAAAAGAAACAGCAAATACAAGGAAGGAGAGAACCAAGTGTGGTAGAAGCCTGTGCAGTGTAGCTATCACAGAATTAGTGAGGGAAAGTGGTGGGAGGTGAAGTCAGAGAGGTAGGCAACCACATCTTATAGAGCCTGTGGGCCATTCTAAGGGCTTTGACTTTTATTCTGTGGGAGGTGGGTTTGCCATTAGAAAGTTTTTAGGGCCAGGCACCCATTGCTCACGCCTGTAATCCTAGCTACTCAGGAGGCAGAGATCAGGAGGATCACAGATCAAAGCCAGCCCCCAGCAAATAGTTCTGAGACCCTATCTCAAAAAAACCCATCACAAAAAAGGGCTGGTGGAATAGCTTAAGCAGTAAGAGCACCCGCCTAGCAAGTATGAGGCCCTGAGTTCAAACTCCAGTGCTGCCCCCCCAAAAAAAGGTTCTCAAATGGTCAGTAGCCATATATGCCTAGAGGCTACTGGATTAGACAAGATAGTTCTGGGGCTGGTGGAGTGGTTCAAGTGGTAGAGCACCAGCCTAGGAAGTGTGAGGCCCTGAGTTCAAACCCCAGTACACCAAAAAAAAAAAAAAACCAAAACAGTTCTAAAAGATTCAGACCTGCTTACAAAGACGATGAGTTATAGAAAAAAAGTATCTTGAACAAGATGTTAGTGCTCATGGAGCTAAGAACAAAGGTCAATCTGAAGTCACTCATAATTCACGTTAGTCATCTAGATCATGCTTTCTCATGAGCTGACTTTCAATTGCACACTTTCATATGTTCTTCCTTTGTTGGTGGTTAGCAGTGTGAGGTAGAACCACTTTTAAATTCTTTCAATCACTTTGATGTAGTTGTCAGAAAGTTTTGGCATTCTCCTATAATCTGGAGCAAAAACACTTAAGTCTTGTTTGTGTAACACCAGAACAAATTTGTGAGTTCTATTAATACTGCCATGACTAGCACAGGGCATGTACCTGTCATCCCAAGCTAAGTGGGATACTGAGGTTGGGAAGATCATCGTCCAGGCTGGCCTAGGCAAAAAATGAGACCCTATCTCCAAAATAACCAGAGCAAAAAGGGCTGGAGGTGTGGCTCAAGCAGTAGAGCACCTGCCTCACAAAGTGTCCAGCCCAGAGTTCAAACCTCAGTACTGCCAAAAAAAAAAAAAAAATGCTGCCATTATTGAATGTTTTAGTTTTTTGTCAGTGTGTGCTTAACCTTATTATGTTTACCTTTGACCTTCTCAGCCAACATTACAGGGGGATTCCCATAAAGCATTGTGGACACATATTTGGGGCTTAGGATGAGGGGCATTACCCCTTTGGGAGGAGCTAAATATCTTTTAATTAATCTTGTAATTTTATGAACTTAGAAGTTTAGTATAAACTATAATATGAAACTTTAATATAAAAGTGCTCATTTGTAGAGGGCGCTAGTGGTTCACGCCTGTAATCCTAGCTGCTCAGGAGGCAGAGATCAGAAAGATCGTGGTTCAAAGCCAGCCCAGGTTCAAGAGAACCTATCTCAAAAAAAGCTCTTACAAAAAAAAAAAAAAAAAAAAGGCAAGGGTGGGCTGGTGGAGTAGCTCAAGGTGTAGTAGACCCTGAGTTCAAACCCCAGTACCACATGCCCACACACACACAAGAGGTGTTCATTTATAATTTAGAGCTTAAAGAGATCTTAGTGGTTATTTAATTCACTTCCCAATTTTACAAGTGAGGAAATGGCCATCAGAGATATAAAGTGATTTATCCTAAAACACATAGCTGAAATCTTAAGCCAATCAACACCAAGAACCTCTGACTTCTCATTCTCAGTCCAATACTTTGTCTATTATACCCCACCGTTTCCTAGTCAAGATAATAGAGAAACCATTCTTTGGAAATAGAATAGTCTGAATGGTTATTTATTGAGAAAAAAATTGGAGCGAAAAGTGACATTTGAATAATTTTCATTGATACTCATAATTTTGAACATACCAACTCATGTATTTACATTTCATACAATCAGAAATCATTTTTACTGATGTTATTTTTCTTGGGTCAGATTTTAAAGCCATTAAGAACATTTAGTGCCTGGTGCTGGTGGATCACCCCTGTAATCCTAGCCTCTCAGGAGGCAGAGATCAGGAGGATTGTGGTTCAAGGCCCACCCAGGCAAATAGTTCAAGAGACCCTATCTCAAAAATATTCAACACAAAAGAAGGCTGGTGGTGTGGCTCAAGTAGTAGAGTGCTTGCCTAACAAGTGTGAGGCTGTGATTTCAAACCCCAGTCCTGCAAGGAGAAAAAAAAAAAAAAGTGAACATTTAGTATCATTTAACCACATCAAGAGAATCATTCAATTTTTTTACTTTTGAAACAGGAAGCTTCTGCCTTATTTTTACCAAGTTCCAAATCTTTTTCATTTATTAGTCTTTACATCAAAAGAAGAAGCAAACTTTTTCATCGGTCGCCGCCTTCTATACAATAGATTTGATTTGGAGCTCTTCACCCCCGGTGACCTAGAAAGAGAGTGCTATGAGGAGATTTGTAACTATGAGGAAGCCAGAGAGATCTTTATGGATGAAGATAAAATGGTAATTTGGTGGATTATGTTAATTGGCTGGAAACCTACTCAATTGTACTTCAGAAAATGGCACTTACAGTCACTGTATAGATTTTCTTCTTTAAACAATATCACAATTGTGTACCTGTTATCTCTTTCTACTTACCTTAAAATGCTAATTACCCTATTTAGCCTTGGCTTTATCCTTAATTAGCTGGGTTTATAAGTAATTAGCAAATTATGGGCTTTGCTGTGATTTTGTGTGTTGAATGTTTATTATATTTAAAAATGGCCTCAGAGCAGAATGAATTAAACTTCAAGGTATTATTTGAGGACTAGGAGTACAAGTCTTGGGATTCAGTCCCCAACACTTCCTCCCAAAATGATATTACTTGAATTGGTGCTCTGACTCAGCAGAGCACTCAGTGCTTCAAACTCAGAGCAATTTCTCCTCAGTAAGCTTACCTTTCTTTGATTACCCACATTTATATTTCAAGTACTTATTAACCATCTGCTGTACACTGGTGCTCTGCTAACATTGAGGGTACAAAATATGTATCCCCTGTTTTGCATTGGGTATTTTGGAGATAGGGTTGCTTGAACTATTTGCCTGGGTTGGCTTCAAACTTAGATCCTCCTGATCTCTGCCTTCTGAGTAGCTAGGATTACAGGCGTGAGCCATTGGGACCTGGCTGCAAACCCATTTTCATGTTTTGTCATGGTTCCTTAAAATCTGCTTCAATTCTTTTCAATAACAGAGAATCTAAACTGTCTCAGGGATGTCTTTCCAAGTCAATAAATAGTTTTCAATAAAATCTCATTGCAAAATATGGAATCCCTAACAGAAAAATTCAACCACGATAATGGGTCCATAGCCTCCACTTGCACCTTTGGTACTTTCACCACCTCTCAAATGTAATGGTTCCCCTGATGTATTAGCAAGGGCCCAGTCAGATGAGGGGAGAGTAGCAGAGCACGGTAGTAGAGAGCTGGGACTGGCAGTAATCACTTAATGAATTAAGCAGGCAACAGAGACAGCGTGGGAAGTAGTGCTTTAATTCGAGTGAGTCATACCCTCCAGCTGGAATGAATTGGTGTCTTACCTCTGACACACGCCAGGAGTTTACTATCCCTAGTCTAGGTCATTGGGAACAAGTGAAATATAAATTACAGAAATTTGAAAATTCTATCTTTTCCTTAGATGACATTTTGGCAGGACTATTCAATTAAAGGACCAAGCACAAAACCAGGTAAGGCAAGAAGTGAACATTTTAATGTTTTCATTGCCCTCTCTCTATTATAATACATTTTAATTTTGTTGTTTGAGTTTGGTTATTGCACAACATACACGTACCTTGTAAATCCAAAGAAGATTTCTCAATTATATACTCGGGCTATCTGAGACAAGATCTGTTTACACACTGCAAATCAAGTTTGGTGAGATATTAGGGAAATGAGATAATAGGCTTAAAGCTGTTTAAAACAACTCAGGTAGAAGTCAAGACTTGCACAGAATAAAAATAAGACTCTGTTAGTTTCAAGTCATAAACTAGTTTAACTCTTATTTTTTGTTTTGTTTTGTTTTTTGGTTTTTTTTCTTTTATTTTTTCCCCCCTGCCCTCACCCTCTTTTTTCTTTTTTATCATTACAAGTAATGAAATTCTTATGGTAGGTAAATTAAGATTGTTGGATGGGGCTTGCGGGTAGAGTGCATGCTTAGTGTGCATTAGACCCTGAGTTCAAGCTCCAGCACTCCCCCCAAAAAATGTTGGATAGAATTAAGTAACTTCTAAAGAAGAGAAATCCTTCATCTTCTCTATATTGGTAATCTCAAGCTGGGGTATTTTTAGTTTATTTTTTATTGATATAACTATACAAATTTAGGAGATGCAGTATGATATATTAATACAGGTATAAAATGTGTAATGATCAAAGCAGAATAACTAGCTTATCTTATCAGATCAAACATTTGTCATTTCTTTGGAGTAAGAATACTCAAAATTCTCTCTTCTAGCACTTTGGAACATCCAATAAATTATTAACTATTCTCACCATGCTGTGATATAGACACCAGTTTTGTGCCTTTTCTATCCCTCCCTCCACTTTACCTTGCTAACTGCTTTTTAGTCATGTATTTATTTATTTATTTTTGCCAGTTATTCTCTTAGGTAGGACCAATCACCCCCCATAGGAGATTATATGATATAACTATACCAAGTTGCTCAATAAATTTGACTAGTTAATACCAAAATTTGTCTAGTTGATCAAAGAATCTGTTTATCCACTTACTGTTGGATATTATCCATTTACTATGACCTATTTAAAATAAATAAAAGAATAAGCATAATTAGGACTCTTAGAAATAAGTATTATTTATATTTTTTTCAGGTGGATTCTCTAGCACTTTGTGTGTGTGTGTGTGTGTGTGTGTGTGTGTGTGTGGTCCTAGGGTTTGAACTCAGGGCCTCACACTTGTGAGGCTAGTGGTCTGCCACTCAAGCCACACTCCCATTCCTTTTTGCTTTAGTTTGTTTTTCAGGTACAGTCTCTCTCTTTTTATTAGCATACATTAATTGCACAGGAGGATTCATTATGACATTTCTGAATATGCTTACATTGTACATTGGTTAGATCATTCCCACCATCTCTCCCTCTCATTCCCTTCCCTGCTCTACCTAAAGCAATTGCAAAAATTTCAGTGTTCTAGTTCATATATGTATACCAATCACATTGGCTATATTCACCCTCTTTCATCGCCTCCATTTACTTTCCCCTTCCCACAAATATTCACTCCCCCCACCCACCCCCACCCCCACCCCCACCCCCAGGACCTATTTTACAGTCCTGTTCTTCAGTTTTAATTCTAAAAGTAGTGTTCAAAGTAGTTTCTCAGCGTATCTCAGCAGTGAGTATATTGTACTTTGGTCAGTCGAACCTCCTCTGTTACTTTCCCTTCCTCTTTCCCTTTTACCCCTTATTATTCAACAGCTTTCAGTGGATGGATACAGTGTCTCCATTTTGTTTGGGCCCCCTAACTGCTGGGCTTATGGGTGTGAGGCACAACACCTGGCTCTAACATAGACTGTTAAAAGAAATGATTATCAATGATTACATGCTTAATAATGTGTTACATTTATTAAAGTCATAAATGATGTTTTTCACTTATTATGTTTATGTTGTTTTAATGATTTCTCTTAAGATGGTAACAGAGAAAAAGTCGATGTTATGGGCCTTCTGACTGGATTAATTGCTGCTGGAGTATTTTTGGTTATTTTTGGATTATTTGGTTACTATCTTTGTATCACCAAGTGTAATAGACAATCACATTTAAGGTAAGTAATAATATTTAAATACATTATTACACTTTCCATATTGTTATTTTAAAGGGACTCAAACAAATGACTGCCTACTTTTTAAATTAACTTTGCATTTTGAGAATAACATTAGATAATCAGGTAGGTTGCAAAGATAGTACAGAGATCCCATAATCCTTTAACCAGTTCCCACTGTTACCAATTACATTACCATAGTAGTTTTTGTTGTTGTTGTTTTGGTGGTATTGGGATTTGAACTCAGGGCCTCATACTTGCTAGGTAGGCACTCTACCACTTGATCAACTCTGCCAACCCTGTTTTGTGTAGGATAATTTTGAGACATAGTCTATTTGCCCTGGTTGACCTTGAGCCTCGATCCTCCTGATCTCTGCTTCCTGAGTAGCTAGGATTACAGGTGTGAAATGCCAGCACCCAAATGCCATAGTAGATTTGACAAAAGTAACAGAACAACCTTACAACATCACCATCAACTGAGCTCCAAACTTCATTTTCATTTCATTAGTTTTCCATTAGGGTCCTCTTTCTGCTCTAGGATCCAGTCAAGATATCATATTGCATTTACTTGTCATGTCTTTCCAGAATCCTTTAGTCTAGCAGTTGTTTGGTGGCTTAATTTAACACAAACAGCAACAATTAAATGATACTATTTCAAAATCTTAAAAAGAAAATGTCAGAACTGGGTGTGGTGGTGCACACCTGTAATTCTAGCACTCAGGAGGCTGAGGCAGGAGGATTTCAAGTTTGAGGCCATCCTCTCATTTTAAAAGATGATTGCATAACTATTCAAGTCCAAATGCGATTTAAATGTAGACCAATAAGAAACCAGAAGAGTTTAATTACAGCTGTTTGAATTAATTGTGATAAGATAGTTCTTAATTATGTCATATCAGATAGAAATGAAAAATAGAATAACTTGTAGAGGAAGAGTGCCCATCTGGGAATTAGGAGGCAAAAGTTCTCATGGTAATTCTGCCACTATTTAACTATGGATCTAGAAGCAAATTCCTTGATTTCTTGAGTTTTCTTCCTCTGTAAGATGGGGGAGTGGCTTTGATTCCCCTTAATGCCATATACATTTTTCTTTTACCAAAGACAAAAATAAATTTCATGCCCTTGGTTGTTAGGTTGTCAGAATCAGAATTTTTTTTTTCAGTACTGGTGACTAAACCTGGGACATCACACTTACCAGGCAAGTACACTACCACTTAAGCTCTGCTTTCAGAACCTTTCAATTCGTTGCCTTTGCCTGGCCTGCCCTTGAACGCTCCCTGCCTCTGACTCCCAAGTAGCTGGTGTGCACCACCACAGCCAACTATAATAAGAGTTTTTAAAGTTATTTGTTTAAAACCCCAAAAAAGGTTGGAGGTGGGATGGAGGTATGGCTTAAGTAATAGAGCATCTGCCTAGAAAGCTACAGGCTCTGAGTTCAAACTCCAGAACTGCCAAAAAAAGGAACCTTTTACATATATAGAACTAAATGAAATTAGTAAATATAAGAGATTCATTTCCCTTAAAATTTAGTAAAAGGAGGTCATTTCATTTCATCTGTATCACTTAAAATTATTTCCTTGAGAGATTAGGAAAATAATTAGGATAAAATAGACTTTATCCTATTTTGTGCTTACAAAAGCAATACACAGGTTATTTAAAACTTCAGGGCTGGAAGTGTAGCTTGGTGGCAGAGCACTTTCCTAGCATTTGTGAGGGCCTGGGTTCAATCCCCAGCACTGAAGGAAAAAAAACTTCCAAAACTTCAAATACTATAGAAAGATAGAATATCAAAAATAAAAATCCTCCCCCGGTGCTGGTGGCTAACACCTATAATCCTAGCTACTTGGGAGGCTGAGATAGGAAAGATTGAGGTTCAAGACCAGCCCAGGAAAATAGTTTGAGTGACCCTCATCCCCAAAATAACCAGAGCAAAATGAACTGAAGGGTGACTCAAGCAGTAAAGTGATTGCTTTGCAAATGTAAAACCCTGAGTTCAAACCCCAAACCCACCAAAACCACAAGATAATTTTTTTAAAAAATCCTCATAACGCTACTTTTTAGTAATAACCACTCTTATGAATTTGATATGTATTACTTTAGGCTTTTTCTATGCATTTACTAACATCTTTTGTGTTAAAAAGAAAAGATTGTTATATGTTCTCCTTTGCAATTTATCTTTGGCACTTAACAGCATGATTTAAATATATTCTCAAAAAAAAGAAGAGATGGGAGTGTGGCTCAGTGGTAGAGCTTCTGCCTAGCAAGTTTGAGGTCCTGAGTTCAAGCCCCAGTACTAGAGGAGTAAAAAACACATATATACATAACATCTTTAAAATTACCATCTTAAGCTTTTTTTTTTTGAGATCAGGTCTCCATATGTAGCACAGGCTGACTTGAACTCACAATCTCCCAAATGCTGGGTTTATACGCTTGTGCCACCACCCCTGGCTCATCTTAACCATTTTTAGGTTTACAGTTGGGTAGTAGTAAGTACATTTACATTGTTGTGCAACCAAGCTCCAGTTTTTCTTTTTCATTTCATAGAAATGAAGCGCCATACCCAGTAAACAAACAACTCCCCATTTTCCTCTTACCCCTGCAGCCCCAGGCAACCACCATTCTACCTTCTGTCTCTATGTACCTACTCTGCGACACCATAGAAGTGTTAGAATTTGTCTACTTCTGACTGATTAGTACGGTAACTTTTAAATCATTGGGTCTCCTCAAAAAAGTTTGATTCTTCAAAAAAGATCTCCTTTATGTCTGCTGAAGTACTTTCTTATTCTAAAATGTAGTAATATGTGAGTCCTTTTTAAAATACATTGGTCTTAGCCTAGATCTTGTTTCTGGAAGAGACCAACATGTATTCTTCCATCCCAGACACAGCAGTTGAACTAAGAAAGCTCTGGAGCCAGGCTGCCTAGGTTCAAATCCTTAGTACACCACTATCATTTGACTTTGGACCTGTTACTTCAATGTACACTCTGCCTTGGTTTCCCCATCAGTAAACTGAAGATAACAAGCAAAGCTACCATGTTCCACAGCTGCAAAGGAGTGTCATTTGCATGACCTGCAGTGTGAACGATGGCCTCTGATATCTCAAACTGGATGTGAGCGTTAATGAGCTAATGTACATAAAGTACTTAAATTAGTGCTTGGTATATAGTAAGTATTCAATGAATGTTGGTCATCATTATTATTAATTTGAAAACTATGGTTCTTCCGAAAGCCCACATAAGAATGACTACGTCTTCCCATCCAGTGTTGATCTTACTTTAAAAATAGTCCCAGGGGCTGGGGATGGTACAGGGCTTGCCTAGCAGGTACAAGATGCTGGGTTCCATCCCCTACACTTAAGAAAAGAAGTTCTGGACTGGGAATGAATTGCGCATTCTGAAGCATTCATATGGAATTAAAAATCAGAAGATACACTGCAAGTAAGTTGTCCTCAAATTTGATAGCTAGCCTGGGCTACATAGATCCTGACTCAAAAACTTTTTTAGGTAGATATATAATAATTTTATGCGGCCCATGAAACCCCCCTTAGCCCATGTGTACCTGTCTTTCACATTACTTGCCACTAACTGAGTACTCTCATTACTACTCTACCACTTTCTATTTTAGTACTCTTGGTACTTTGTACAAATGAAGCTGAGGTCCATAAAGTAGACATGGAGTGATTGTCATTTGATTGAGGTGACTAGACAGTAAAAAAAGCAACTCAAATATAAACATATGGGATATACAGTACCAAAGTTTCTGTTTTGTTTTTTGTTTTCTTGCAGTGCTGGAGCTTGAACCCAGGGCCTTACACATTCTAGGCAAGCGCTCTAGCTCTGAGCTATATCCCCAGCCCAGAACGCTCCTTGAAAATGGTTGGGAATGCTTAGATTTGATGAGGGTAGAATATAATTAGTCACTTTAAAGGACATGAGGTTTGAAGGAAATTACTGAGGAGGATGTTCCAAGAAAGTGGAACCACAGGAGCAAAGATGTGGATGGGTCAAGTATCACTTATCTGAAATGCTTAGGTTTTTGTTAGTTTTTTTCTTTTTTTTAATGTTTTATTCTTTTAGCAATACTGAGGTTTGAACTCAGGACCCCATGCTTTCGAGGCAAGCGCTTTATCACTTGAGCCACACTACCAACCCTTTTGTTGTAGGTTGTTTTTTTGATAGGATCTCACTTTTTGCCCAGAGACAACCCTGGACTGTGATCCTCCCACCTATGCCTCTGGAGTAGCAGGGTTTACAGGAGCGTCCCAGCATGTCCAGCTTATTTACTGAGATTGAGTCTCACTAACTTTTTTTGCCTGGGCTGCCCTCAAACCTTCATCCTCCCAATCTCTGCCTCCCAAGTAGCTGGAATTACAGATATGAGCAACAATACCCAGCTCCCAAAAGTATTTTAGATTTAGAATTTTTAAAAAATTTATATTTACATATACATAATAATATATCTTGGGGATGGGACATAAATCCAAATACAAAATTTATTTATGTTTCATATACACCTTATACACACAACCTGAAAATAATTTTATACAGTACATTTAGTGTGCTTGCATTTTGATTGTATCCCATTCAAGAAGGTCAGGTGTATAGAATCATGTCAGTGCTCAAAAAAGTTTGATTTCAGAGCATTTTGTGTTTTCAATTTTTTTGATTCAGGATGTTCAACCTGTGCTACCAAGACTCACATAGGAAATGACAAGGAAAATATACTTGACCAAACATCTAAGAACTCTGATGGAGAGTCCTAAGGGACTGGGCAAATTGCTGGATAATTGGAACACCAGCCTAAAGGGATCTACATTTGAATTGCCATGCATGACAGCAGGGGGCACTCAAGTAGAGAATTAAAAGGAAAACTGTCCAGTGCCATCCTGCCTCGGGAGGCTGAGGCAGGATGAGCACAATTCCAGGCCAACCTGGGCTGCATAGTGAGGCTCTGTCTCAAAAACAAGAAAAAAAAAAAAAAAAAAAAGGGGAAGTTTTTGAGAAAGA